CTTTTAGGCTACACGTGTTTTTTTCCGGTCCAAGAGGTGGGAACGGGGAATTTAAAAGACCCCAAGGCACCGGGACGCGAACTCCTAATTTTATTGTCTCCAACGTTGTTTATCAGGTTGCCAGGCAACGCGCGGTGCTTTGCACACACGTTACCCCTTTCGGTTATATATATAATATATATATATTATATATATATATATATATATATATATATATATATATATATATATATATATATATATATATATATATATATAAACGGCTACCCCGCCCCCATAACAACAGTATTATTGAGACGTAAAACCACATATTACCAGTTGGGTTAATAATTTTATTGGTCTGTTAGACTGTCGATCAGACATCATAAACCTCTCCCAACTGCAGCGTTTCTCTGAGAACACTGCATTGATTTTTTTATTTGTATATTTGTCACACTTCTGAATAATTATTCAATTCTGTGTTGAAATTGAATAAATTTTTGTAAGAAAATTTTAGTTATGGAAAAAAAAATTGTTTAAACTGTTGGCCTTAAGCTTTGGATCGTTATTAGTATTAATGTTAAATACATGAGCTTCGCTAAAAAATATTTATAAAACTCATTTATATACCTACAAATAGATAAACAAATAAGTTCAAGAAATATTTTTGTGAGTTGTTTTACGTCCGGTCAATTTTGAAGAGGACATAACTGTACCTTTATTAAGCAAATAAATTCGTACCCTCTGAATGAGCAAACCTCGTTAATTTCCTTCTTACAATATTAAATACATACTAATTAACTATTTTCTCATAATTGTTATTGCTTTTCATTCAAATGAGATAGGATTTTTTTATTTTTTATTTTAAGTCCCCTCCGACCCTTCAAATATCTAGGACACAGCGGTAGAGCGGAGAATAGACCTGACCGACACAACATACTAAGCTATACCCCGGCCCCATTAGTACCCCGCTGGCCCTAACACAGGAACTATTTCAGCCTTATGGCCCCCTCCTTCCTGGGCCTCTTTATTTCCCCACTTAGTACTGTCATATTAATGACCTACCCTAATACCTGTTTAATGGAAATGGGAAAGTGATGTACCTTTCTTCCTGTTTTCCCGCCCGTTGTTTGCTCAATTCCTCCCTCCAGGTGCAGATAGTCTCTTTTTTAGGTTAAAGACCAATCGAATGCAAGGAGTTCGAAGAGTTGATTATGGTTTGATGGCTATGCATAAAATGATATGGTAGAGCGGAAATGGGATGGGCTAATTTAAAAAATATTCGTACCAACTAGAGAAGCAACCTCTATTGGTTATCATATTCCAAAGAGAACAACTGATTGATTGCAACATACTCCACAGCAATTGTTAACACATGGTCAAGTAACTGTCCAATTAGAGAAATATTGAGCCTATGATTAGAGATGAAAAAAGAACTGCCAATGTGTTCTTTGTTTCAGTTCCGTTCCACTGTGGTATCTTGCGAAATGAGAAAGAACATACCAATCTGCCAATTTAGCGAGGAAGGGAGAGGTATGAAGCATAACTGCAATAAATTATATCACAATAGAAGATTGAGTGGACGAGTATTAGAAAATTGGGGAAAACAGTTTAAACCATTTGTGGGAAACCTGCGGCCTCCGTGAACTAGCTGTGGCCGCTAAACTTTTTGCGTGGTATTTATTAATCTAATGCTGGAATTAATGAATATTTAGTTATTTAGGTTACGAAATTTTGAAGTTAAATAGAATTAAGTTGGATATGCGTATGAGAGTGTTTTTAGTGATAAATAAAAATAGCAACGGTAAAATACAAATAATTGTTATGGCTTCCATTAGCAATGCCTAACCTTACTGCGCCCTGTGATGTTAAAAAGGTTCACCACCTATGGTATGGACTATTAGAAATAAAAACGGAATGCAACAAATGAGCTACAAGCATTAGAGAAATAAGAAGGGAGGAAATCATATTGTGCCGAATACGAATTGGTCATTGTATCTTTACACACAGATACCACATTAGAGGTAAAGAAACATCCAAGTGCCAAAGTGTAACTTTAGACCTCAGATAGTCAAACACTTATTACTGCAGAACCATTTCGAAAAAATGGCAAAAGCGACAAAAAAAAAATATCAATGACATTGAAAAAACTATCGCGAATTAAGATAGAGTCGCTACTCTGTTCCAATACTTAATGGAAAAAAAAACCTGTACCACTACAACACATGAAGGGTTCAGTACTATTTAGGGAAAGCACTATTTCATGATCTATGGTTGTGCAAGGAGATGATTTGACCGAGACCACGCTCAACCGCCAGGTTTTCCCCCTTAATTAATTAATTTAATTAAGGGTGCCTACTTTATAGAGGCTGGGGGTGCCCCAGGAGGGTCTCCCGACCCAGGATCACCCACGGCTAAAGAAAAAAATAAATAAATTTTCTGCCATGAGCATGAGTACCCTACCACTGAACTATCCCACTTAATGGGAAACAAGTATAATAAGAATAATAATATATATAATAATGCATTTATTGATACAATTTGTTTACACATATTTCTATAATACTTTCCCATAATACGCTTGGTTTAATAAATCATTAGCCAATAAGCCCAACAGCGAATAATATAATAATTAATTAATACATTAATTACGATGAGAAAATAAATTAATGAAGCAAACATTAATTAATTAAGGGAAATTAAGAAAAAAAGTATTACAACAGAGTACAATAATGACCCTCTAGGGTAGCCAATTAAAAAAAAATCATTATTTCTATAAGTTAATGAGAAAAACAAATTTATTGAATTAATTATTTATTTCCTCACGTTTTGGGAAATTCATTTCCCTCTGTAACATCTTTAGGATCACTCCAATTTATCATTAATTATCTGGAATTCATTTTTATCCTAATTTGTTCGTATGTAATGGAAATTCCTTGTACATATAAATATCAATATACACTTCATTAAGTTTGTAATTTTATTTATAAACAGAATAGGATATTCCAAGCAAAATGTCTTATGAATCTGATTAGTTTTTAAGGCCAGCATAATCTCCCATTGTTCACTATCTACGGTATTTGATGAGTTCGCTATCAAAAGTGGACATCTTCATTTCCACTGTTACTGTCAATGTGACTATAAAAACAGATTCTTCTATCATCTCGAGATTCCTTAAAAAAGCAATCTTTCCATTTATTATTATAGAATAAAAAACATTTATTACGAACGTGGGGCGTGTACAGATTTGTGAAACTTTTATAAACTCTTTTAGTAAAAAGTTTAAGCTAAGCTAATGTTTAAGCTTCTACTTTTGGTAAAAAGCTCCTCATTCCAATGCTACAGTACTCTTAACAATTGTCTACTTTAATTTGTTAAATGAAAATATCTTGTTAAATGGAACTTCAGAAAATTGATACTAAACCATTTGTACACTATTAACTAATTTGTCTCTTGGTCAAATGGAACTAGTATTTTTGAAAACACAAGCGTATGAAAAAAACTAGGTTTGCGCATCCTTAACTAAATAATGGAATTACTAAGTAATTACTAAGTAATGGAATTTCATGAAATTTATGATCGAACATGTGGACAGAATCATTTTAAATTTCATCAAAATCGGATGTACTGTATTAGGAATAACCGTTTATATGGATTTTACTAAAGATAATAATAATAGCAGTACAACCCCTGAAGAATTTCATTACTTTGATAGGGATTACTTTTAATTTTTTTCTTCCCAGCGTTGTTGCTATAAGTTTTAGGAAGTACTGATTCCAGGTCAGTGCCATGAGGATAATCAACTAATTAGTAAAGGGGGCACACTTTGTAAAGGCTGGGTGGACCACAGCAATATGGCGTGGTCCCCAGAGTCGAATCCACAGCTGAAGAAATAGTTTTGAGTATCTTCTTTCTTCTGTGTGCGAATTTCGTGAGTTTATGTAGCTACCTTTACATATCGATGTCTCTGGGAATCCACAGATGGGACATGTCGACCATGTTTGTTCACGTTTCATCTTTGAGCCAAAACGAACGAGCAGTTTTTGAACTATATAATAATCCAGGAAAATACCTTTGGGTATACACAGCCAAAGAAGCTAATAGAATTCGATTAAATTAATACAGCGCAGTATTTTTTCCAGTTCCCTATTCCCTTCTAGCTTTGAACCAGACTGAACGAGCAGTTTTTTAGACATTGCCATACCAAGAAAATGTTATGAAGTAGTAAACGGAATTTGATGATACGGTAGCACTTACGTACAATTATAAACAGTTTCTGTAAATTTCATAAAAATTGGATTAACGGTGGTGGAAATAGACTAGAAATTTTTAATTTCCAGGACAATTTTTTTTTTTTTGTTGACCTGCATAAATACAAAATTTCCCTATCTTCGTTAGTGAGAAAGCGAAGTAGTATATTACTTATGGTCCATTAAAAATGAAGTATGAAACGGCTGTCAGTTAATTGACACCATCAATTAAAGTTCCATTGCTATATTTTTAATGGCCATTGAAGGACTCAACTCGTTGTGTTCCCTCACATGTCAGGCCGTCTGCTACAATTAATCATTCTCTTGTCTGAACGAATTGGACTCCGTCATTCATAGAATGACAAATTGATTCCCATAATTTAAAAAAACGGCATTCTTCTAATGATATTGAATATTTTTGTATTTACAAGTTGTTTTAAAAACTTTAAAGTTATAGAAATGCATTAATAAATAAATTATATCTATTCAATTAACTTAAATTGGGAGAAATTGAAATCATAGATCTGGAAACGTAGGTAATTATGTAATTGTGATTGATGATGAAGTTATACTGACCATACTTTGTAGAGGTTTTTTATTTTGTTTTTACTTTGGTAAGTCTTGTAGAACGATTCTTCTCTTCAAGAACGACCATAATCACAAGCCAAGATTAATAAAATCCCTTCTTGGAAATCTCCAGCAAAGGCAAGTTAATATAAGCTCTGTCAACAAATGGAACCGACATAAACAAGATGACTGATGATCTTGGATATGAAGACTCGGGACCAATTAGGACCGGGCAAGCAACAATCAGTCTCAGATGTCCTGCCCCGGGGGTATTGTTTGCCAGATGGCTGCCTCCAGCAGGGAAAGGATATCCATCCGCAGTCGAATCTACTTTTGATGACTATCTACAATATATGTCCTCTTCAATATAAAGCGGAGCCGAATCTCCACTACATCGTAGAGATGAGGATACATAAAACCAACCTTACTAACAACTAAGGTTGGGTGTGATCAGAACAAACAAAGTTTTATCTGTGAAAGTCTGAAAGCCAAATATACAAATGATAAAACAGCACTAAAATCACCAGCGTCATCTTCATCTCATATTCAATTTATCTATATGAGAAAAGTTATATACTGTTCTGTAACGCACAAGCTTCTCTATATACTTTGTACCAGACTTGGAAATGGTTTATCAAAGTTAGATAAGTTCTATCTATCGATGCTTTACTCGTTGTCAACAAAGGTAAAAGAAAATAAATTGTTCATGGGACGTGCAAATAAAAATTTCAAACATAAATTAGGACCTAAATATTCCAGTATAGCATTTCTATATGCTACAGAATAACTTATATTACATAGTCAGTCATTGGAAAACAAAATCTACTAATGCCATTTTTTAGCATAGTCTTGTTAAACTTACTTTTAACGCCCTTAGCGGAAAAATAATCGAATTGGACAATACCTCTATTGGACCATGTAGATATCAACTCTTAAAGTCTTTGTAAATTTCATCAAACCGATTTAACAGTAGTAGGTAATATGCTTCTATCACACATATATAAGTTACATGGATTTGAGTTTAGTATGACTTCTCTTAATCTCTACTACCTACTATATTCAACCGCCATTTTATTCTTAACAGTTAGATTAATTTCAATTGTTCGATGGCATTGATATCAGACCCTATACTTTTTCCCAAAAGTAATCCAACTTTGGTCTAAATCGAACGAGCCGATTTCCGAATTACATGCGTATCTTGGAAAATACGTTTGCATTCGCGGGCAAAAGTAGGGGGTGAAATCTGAAAAAATTGTTACTTCATAATTTTTGTTTGTAATCTTGGTAAAGATTTTGATTGGTATCGACATTCTTTCAACTTTGGGCCAAATTGCACGAACCGTTTCTGTTAATTTCATTTTTGAACCAAATTCGTTTCTCAAAATATAAATGATTATGATATTTTCGATTCTGAGAAAAGCAATTTATTTTTTGTTTACTGTAGGCTTTTGATGACCTGGGATAGGTTTTATGCCTATAAACAACAAAAAACAAACTAACAATTTTTTTTTAACTCATCGTACGAATTACAGACATTCTTACATTTGGTAAGAAAAAAATAAATAAAGGCGATACACTTACAAATTTTACATTAAATCTATATAAGCCTGAAGGATATTCAGAAAGATATCGTCGCAGTGGTATTACCCTGAAAATGTTTGAGATGGGTGTATCCATGCGGGGCTTTGAATTTTCGAATTACAAATCAGGAAACATGATACATGGAACATACTGGAGCTTGTATAATTTTATGCAAACAACAGCTTTTATAATTCTGTTTCCGCTTGTATCGTTTTTGTGTAGCGGAAAGCAATATCTCTTGGGAGGGTGACATACGTCATATATCTTGAAGGTGGGAGAATGGACATGCCTTAAGCCTGCATTAAATGACCCTGGTTCAAATGTTTGGCTTTTCTTCCTTTGGCATTTGGACTCAATCAGCAGGATGTACTAGTTAGCCAACTAACCTAAACGTTCTACACTACTCTGGAATCACCCACATCTCCGAAGCGTATATGCATGTATTTATTATTCAATCGGAAAACACTACGCTCCTCGCTTTTATTGAAGTCTCTTCAATTATTTACCGTTTTATCGAGTTTCTAAGGCAGTCCCTCTATTTATCTTTTCATAAACGCCTGACGTAAACGCTAAGTAAAAAACATGTTTTTTCTCCTTCACCCTTTTCTTCGAACATGAATAAATTATTTTTAGCAAAACAGAAGGGTCTGTTTTTAAAAAGTGTGTTAAGTATCATCACGATTAATGAATACTGGAGTTTAACATAATCAATCTTAAATTTCTCATTAATGTTTAAAAGAAACCGTTGACGTTTCCGGTTACTTCAGCACTTACTAGACAAACGCTCTAAACTTCCAATTAATTACAAAAGACTTATGCACATGACTATAATAAGGCCTATGTGGACTTAAGGAGTTGAGCTTTGGGCTCCACTGAACCATCGAATTCCTCTCGTATACAATCCTCACAATCCAAAATCCTTCGTAAAATCCTCAATGCTACCTAATTTGTTACAAATAAAACCATCCATAATGACCTTAATGTTTCTTATGTTTCAGATCTTGGCCAATCCAAATACCTATCCTTCCATAATAAACTTCAGAATCATCCTAACTCTCTCGTTTATAACCTTGCTTCCTCTTCAATTCCTGATAATCCTCCGAGGCGTCTGAAAAGATGGCCCCGTGATCTCCTAATGTTGACATACCATTGGGTAGTTACTCAACAAGTGTTTTCACGTCATTCATTATAATCATATTTTCAAATTTACTAAATGTATTTCTTTAATACAGTTGTAAATATCATTAAGAAATAATTTTAAAAAAGTGTTTAAAACATAGGAGGGTAACGTTTTTAGCAATACATTCCGAATTAAATTTAGGCATTGATAATGAATTTAATAATAATTTACTGTGGCTATTTTTCATGGTAATATATACGAAGTTTATTTTAAAGATGTCATTTATATAATTAGATATTAATACCAGGCATGTCTTTTTTTAATTTCACATAAAATTTCAAGGAATAATGATGTACTCACAAAAAAAAACATCATAATTCCACATACTCTGAAATAAATAAAAGTGATTATGAAGGAATAAATCCAACTCTTCATATACAATTATCATTATATTACATAATAATTGAGCATAGTTGAATTGGATAATTGCGTCAGGGTTTGTTAGAATTAGACTAGTAGGAAAAATTAATATACCACATTGATTAGAAGATATGGCCTGACACCGATAAGACAGCAACAAAATAATATCAAATCTAATCTTACGGTACATCCTTGACGGATGTATATCTCCATTGTAATGAGGTTCGAAGATTCTCATATATAGCAACACATGTGGTTGTTGGTTGCTTCAACGGTTTTCTATTTTTAAAATAAATGCTAAATAATTGCGCTTTTTATTTTGAACATTAATGATCATTTATTGTTTTTTTTTGTACTTATAGGCATAGGCGCAGACTTTTAGACTCTGGGTCAATCTTCCTCTATCCCAACGAATAATTTAAATAAATGAATAAAAAAAGTAAACTGAAATAAAGTTAAAAAAATATCAACATTTGACTAACCTTCTAGATAAAGGCCTAGGAGCTTTGTGAATATTTGTTTACTAGCTCGCCCTAAAATTTTCTATGATTAAAAGTACACTTATATTACAAGATAACAATATATATTAACATTGAAATAATGAAACCGTTCATCATTGATAAGTAATTGAAGTCTTTTTTTATTTCAATCTTCAACTAATTCCGTGATTATTTTGATCAAATTAGAATTCTTATTTTTATTCTTTTTCGTATAAGAAAATTATTAATTTTATTTTTAAACTATAATACGGTAATACATTAACTCGCAAAAATATTTGTTTTGTTTTTTCTATATATGATATTATGTATAATATTCAATTGTTAAAATGACATATTTTCAAATATGTCTATACGAGAAAAAATCAATATGCATATAAATTTATTTTTAAATTTAATGTATTACATAACGCCAGTGGTCCCGCGACCTTGTTATTGGAGTTCTGACCATGGCCAGATCACAATAGTACGGAGGTATGTGTCTAAAGCGGTCTCCATCAATCTCCACTGGTTTTAGTAACAGTGATGCGGTTGAAAGAGTAGCCCATGGATCTCCTGGAGTCCTGCTTTTCTCTTCATAGTAAGAAGGATGGAAAACTGCCTCGAAGTTCTCTCATCTGATTGTAAATAGTGTATAGAGGTACATCGTTGAGGTTGTTTTTTTAATTTAGTTATTTTAAACTTATTTTATTTTTATTTATTTTATAAACTTTTTGATTATTATTTAGTTGTTATTTGTCCTCTGTTTATTTCATATTTTCGTTACACATAGTGTGAATGTTGTCTAATTCTAATTATTGTCTATGTGACAAAATATTATATTACCTAATAAATATAAATATGTTTATATAAATATAAATATATATACATAGGGGCTGGGGTTGCCGTGCGGGTTAAGGCGCTTGCAATAGGTTACCAAGTTAAGCAACGCCGAGCGTGGTTAGGGTGATCTTTCACCAGGAAAAGCCACGCTACCCGAGACTTCCCCCCGGATTTGTGAGACCCGTCAGCCTACTGGATGCAACTTACACAGACCGGCCGTAGAATTGATGACTCCACCCCCCAGTGTACTTAAATCAGGAATCGGGAAGTGGTCAAAGATCTACAAGATCTTTAGCGCCAAACGGAAAAAATATATATATATATATATATATATATATATATATATATATATATATATATATATATATATATATATACGATTACTTATTTATTGATAAGTATTACAATCTGTCTCAATTAAAGACACTTATAGTGGTATAGTTCATTCACACCATATCTTTGTGTTCCAGAATCATAAATAAATAAGGTAATAAGAAAATAATATATAGCGAAATAAGATTTAAATAAAACATCATATTGAGGAAAGAAAATAATAATTAATAATAATAAAATGAAAATACATAAATAAAATGAAATGCTTTTAAAAATAAAATAAACATCATAGAAATAAATAAAAAAGTATTACATCGTTTTACAATAATTATGTTGATGTTTGTATATAATGTATAAACATAATATATAATAATATACAGTTTATGGTCCTTCCCTTTCCCAATGAATATAGAAAGCCTGCACCTTTTGTTGTATGACTGGATTGATATCAAAGAGGAGTGATGCTTCGTACGAATAACGAACGACATGTTTCTAATAACAGTGAATGTGATGAATAATAGCTTAAAGTCCTCTTTTAAATAGCTGTTCCCCAAGAATAACTAATTAGACTTAAAGGGGCCGTAAATAGGGAAGAATGAAAACAATAGAGTACAAGAAGTTTTATTTATCCTGTGACTGTATTAAAACTTGTAATATTACAGTTC